CCTGAGATGCCTAGCCACAGCCAACTCTGATTCACACATTTCAACCCTTTGCCACATCCCAGACACTCTCCCTGCTCCTCTCCCTGTCCCCTAAACACCCTCTCTGCCGGTGACTGACATGCTGCTCCCGTCTCTTCTACCCTTGGAAGCAGGTGTTGACACACCACTGGTCAGTGAATTTGACAGCCATTGATTGCAAAAAGTCAAAGAGAAACTTCTCTTATGCTTGAGCAAGTCTCCCTTACTCCCATCGCTTATGTTCTTATAGCTTGGGGGCCAAGAACAACCCTCTCTTGAGAAGGAACTGAAAATGAAAACAGGCTCGCCTTTGCATACCATTTTCTCCCTGCAAACTCTTTTACATACATTATCTCACACAGCCGCTGTCTGTATTTGTCAGAAGCTCCACTGTCCCTATCAACTTCTCTCGCAGGTAGGAACTCGGGGAAGGAGGTCTACAAAGGAAACACTACGGACACCTGAAAGGAGCTCAGAAGCAAGGGGAGCTAAGCTTCAGGCCTAGAGCTATGGAGGCAGAAGTCTTCGGCACACGCTGGCTTTAGTGACTCATAGAAATATGTGCGATAGAAAACAGCCACACCTGGGCCAGAAGACAAAGGCTGATCTCAGCATTAAAGAGACTTTGATTTGTAGTGAATGGCAGTAAATGCAAAGACACCGTGGCTGCTCCAGGTGCTTAGACCAAGTGATTGAGGTGCTTAGAATAAGCACTACTTATTCTGCTTCTAGGCCCTGAACAGGACATTTGTAGCACGCCCTCTAAGGTTCAGACAACATCAGAGGAGTGAAAAGAATGTAAGAATTGGAGGTCAGGGAGAAGGACTTTGGGCATGACACAACCTTGGCAAATGAGCTCACAGCAGGTACAATTGCCTGCGCTGGGCCTGCACAAGACTGCCGTGTCAACAGTCAGTAATGGATGAAGGAGGGGCTCGTAGGAACCTGCCCCTCCATGCTGAGCTATTGCATGGCCTCTGGGGGAGGGACAATCATTGTCTTCAGTTGTGTAACCAATAGTGAGCAGACTCCTGGTTAAAATCAGTGTGTCCCAAAACAAAACTAAAAGGCATGAATGTGGGAAAGAGACTTGTAGGGAGGAGGAGGGGTGACAGGGAGATTAGAGAGGGTTGGGCAGAGAGTAAACAGAAGATACTTAATGCATGTCAGAGAATAAATTTAACCAATAAAAGCAATCCAAAAAGAAGAGGAAAACACAATACTTAGGAAAAGTGAAAAGCTCCATGAGCCAGGGGCTCGAGAGATGGCTCAGTAGTTAAAAGCACTGTCTTCCCTTCCAAAGGATCCAGGTTTAATTCCCAGCATCCACATGGCAGCTTACAACTGTCTGTAACTCCAGAGATCTGACATCTTCACACTAATGCACATAAAATAAAAGTAAATAAATTATTTTGTTTAAATGGGGGGGGGGAGGTGGCTCAATTAAGAGCACTGACTGCTCCAGAAGTCATGAGTTCAATCCCCAGCAACCACATGTTGACTCACAACCATCTATAATGTGACCTGATGCCCTCTTCCGGCCTGCAGGTGTACATGCAGATAGAGCACTCATATATTCATATACAGTAAATAAATAAGTCTAGAATAAAAATACACGAGACACAAATCCCAGTCATAGAATGGACAAAAGTAAATAAAAAACGGCAGCCATGTTCAGTTGGGCCATTGCTTGCACCCATCATTGGCTGTGCCCTCACTACCACAACTCCTGTTGCCACAAAGGGATTCTTTAAGGCAAAGGCAGAACACCACCCAATACGAGGTCAGAACTCCCACATCCATTTGACGTCTCTGGGTTTATAGGCTGTTGCTTCCCTTTCCCCTAATAAAGGCCATTTGTTAAAGAAACCAGGATATTTTCCCTACAGAGTTTCCACCTTCTGGAGTAGGCTGTGTGAACTGAACGAGCAGCTGCACCTGTTAGACTATTCTGAGGGTGGCTGGGTGATGATAATCAATAAAGTCTGTGGTTCTAGAGAGCCGGAATGTTAAAGGCTCGGAATCAAGTTATCTTGGGCTGTCCTTGGTTTCCTGATAGCGTTTATTGTGATCTGACATCCTTGAGCTGATTAGGTAAATCCTTTGGAATGTGTAAACAGACTCCCACCGCCTACCAACCCGAAGGCTAAGAATGTCACCACAAGTTCCCACGCAGCTGTAACTCACCACCAACCCAATATTCCCACCAATGGTGTTTTTAAAGATGCCTTGGTTAGTGGCTTTGGAAAGATGGCTCTGCAGTTAAGAGCACTTGTTGCTCTTGCAAAGAAACTGAGCTCCATCCATTTCCAGCACCCACATGGCAGCTGACAACCATCCGTAACTCCAGTCCCACGGGATCCATCTCCCCTTTAAGGCTTCCAAAGGCACTGCAAATGTAATCTACTGATAGAAAAACAGGCCAAACACCCACACTCATGAAATAAAAATAAATATTTTAAATGCCTTGATTCGGGACCAACAATATGGCTTTAATGAATAAAGATACCTGCTGCCTGCCAAGCCTAAAATCCGGGTTCCATCCCTGAGCTCCACATGCCGGAGGGCAAGAACTAACCCCTGCAAGTTCTATTCTGACATGTACAGAAACCCACACACACGTGCACGTAAGTAAGCAAGCAAACAAATAAGAAATATTCAAAATAGAGACCTTATCACGACTCCCCTCTTCTGTTACTACAAGAACGTCACAGAACTTACAGGTTGGAACGTGATATTTGAGGTAACTTGAGTCTGTGTCCCTGAGCCATGGTTGGTCACTCACATTTGGCTCTAGAGCAAATTCTGTTCCCTTTAAGGTGAAAGCTATGTTTTTGTGTCAACATGTTTTAAATACTATAGTGTCTTAGATGTATCCTGAAACGTGATAGAGCCATATAGACAGAGCAGGAGATGAAATTCTGAGCGAAAGTCCATCGTAGAGTTTTAGGAGACACATAATGTTTACTCTGATTCTGTGATATCCGTGGACATGGACAGCCATCATTAGGTTCATTGGCTCATCAAGAGTTTATGAGATGGTTGTGCCAGTATTAACACCTGCATTTAGTAGCTGGGATTCCTCCAAAGAGAAGCCTTACCTCATCACTCCGGGAAACAATTGTCTTCCGGTATACTTCCTCTCTGTTGACCCTGTACAAGAGGGTTTGTTTGTTGAGACTGTTGTTTTCCAGTTTTCAGAATGAGTTTGCTTGACCTTTACCATACCATCCAAAAATGACTTATAAACTACTTTTTGTGTTTACAGTAAACTTATTGTTTTTAACAAGGTTGGTGCATTTTTCTGTCCATCCTACTGATTACTTTTATTTGCGTCAGTCCTTCTCCTCTTGGCTTCTTGGAATTTGCTTATTCTGCTAAACCTCTAAATTAACCTTCCTTCCTGAAAGGTTAATTTATTATTTTTAAGTTATATTTTTGGTTATGTGTATATGTGTGTGTGTATGAGTATGTGCACATGAGTAAGGCCAGAAGAATGGAATTGCCCTGAATCAGATGGAGTTCAGGTGGTTGTCAGCTACAAGGTATGGATGCTGAGAGTCAAACTCTGGCCCTCTGGAAGTACATACTCTTAACTGCTGAGCCATATCTACAGCCCAAGAATGATGTTTTTAAGTTCTTGTATTTTCTTTACTCTCTCCTGTCTTAGACAGTGTTTGAGGGACCCTGACTCCTTTCAGTGGTGCCTGGGGACTAGTATCAGGGCGCTAGCTGGACATGTTGTTTAGAAAGTGTCTATTCTATCTCTTAGACCCAGGATTAGCCCAAACCATCAGAAACAAAGGGAACATTATTAAAGTCTAGCAGAAGCCTCAGTTTTCCTCATTTCATCTTTCACCTCTACCTGCATACAGATTTGTCACTTTGTAGGGGACAAATATCCTTCTCTCCATCCTGCCTGCTGCCCCTGTCCTAGTCTATTCTCAATAAAAGGGATGCCTTCCAACAGCTATTCAAAACCTAGATGCCATAAAAAAAAAATCATTGCATATAAAATATAGTCTATGTAAATCCAAAGACAACATAACAGGGAAAATGCATTCAACTTGTATCCCAGCAAAAATCTTATCTTCCTGTAATTCAAAAGGTCAAAGGGAAATTAATGAAGAGATAGAAAAATAAATATAAACAGCCAGTAAAAGGATCATGAGCAGGCCAGGCATGATGGCGCACACCTATAAACCCAGCACTCAGGGAGGGGGAAGCAGGTGGATCTCTGTGAGCTCAAGGCCAGCCTGGTCTACAAAGTGAGTCCAGGACAGCCAAGGCTACACAAGAAAACCCTGTCTCAAAAAAAAAAAAAAAAAGAAAGAAAGAAAGAAAGAGAAAAAAGAAACACTGTGGCAGGTGGGATGAATCGATAAGTGAGAAGGTTTGCAGCCAGATCTGATCACCAGAGCTTGATCCCTGGACTCCACATGGTAGAAGGAGAAAACTGACTCATGCAACAAAACTGACTCCTCTGATCTCTAACATACGAAACTTGGCATCTGCGGGCTCACACACGCATGCACAGAGAACAAGTAAACATAAAGGGAAGAAGAGGGCATAATCAAGATTTTTTTTTTTAAAAGAATGAGGATGTTCTTTGTATATTGATAAGAAAGATCTCCAGGGCATGCAATGACTAACCACAGTCTGGAAACAGAGTCTATGTGTGTGTAGCAGGCACTGGCCAGCTATTGTCCAAAATGTTTCCTGTTTTCACGTGGGCACAGTGCAAACATGACTCTCAGCCTCCTTTGTAATAAGATGGGTTATTGACTGAGTTCCGACCGACAGGATGTAAATAAAAGTGACTGAATGCCACTTATCACAGGTGGCCAGTACTGGAAAGCCTCATAAAAATGAATCAGGGCTTATGGCAGGGAAGTCCAGCAGCTGGCTGCATCCCCAGGTTGAATAAAAACACATGGGACAATGGGGACAGCTCCCATGCTGTCAGAGAAAATAGGTATGAACAGCAGAGGAGAGAAAGCAAGGCCCAGTCATGGAATGGGCTGGAATTGGGAATGGTGGAGTGCCCTAGTTTAGTAAAGAAAGAGGGCCAAGAGGGAGGAAGAAAGGGAAGGAGCACAAAAATGAGGCAGAGGGGCCCGAAGGCAGCGAGGCTCCCAGGGAAATCAGTGCTCTCGAGCCTGACATTGTGCAGTATTAAAAGACCCAAGAGTCCATGGAAAATGACAGAGTCTATAAAAAATATATATAAGATGAACTTGAATTATTTTTAAATACAAGAAAATAGGAAAATGTTCACAGAATAATGAGGACATACGAAAAGACTGAAACAGTAGCTTGAATGGCTCCTGCTGGTCCGATAGTTCAGCCCTAAACACATGTGCATATTAGCGACAATAAATGGATCCAGTAGGTTCATACATGTATGACCACACCACGTGGGAACCTGGGAATCGAACTGAGGTCCTCTTGCAAGAGTAACAAGCTGTCTAAACTGCTGTTCCAGCTCTCCAGCCTCTGATACGTATTTACATTTAAACCCAGCCTGACAGAACAGGTATGTGTAGGAGAGAGAGCGAGTAGAGTCATAGCAGGGCCAGATTTCTCAATATAAACTATCGCTTTTATTTTGAACTATAGAGTTATAGCAATTCTCTGAGATATAAACCAGTTAGAAGACTGATTGGATTACACTTAGCACCTGAATGGTGACCAGATGAGAGCACAGAAGAGGATGGGCAATTCCTAGGCTGGGGCCAACAAATTTTCTACAGAGAAGGTATGTCTTCTTCATTATCATTACCCTCTGTCTGTCTGTCCATGCCCCTCACACTTTCCCTGCTGTCCTAGTCTCTAGTTATATCCACTCAAGCTCGCCCCCAGACCCTTGAACACTCCACACACTGTGGTGCTGTCTGAGTCACCTGTGGTCACCCTGTGGCATTCTGAGCAGCCCTTGGTGAATAGCATCAAACACCACTGTGGAGAAATTTAGTTGGTTCTGGTCTGGGAATCTCCCCTCCTCAGTGCTCCCAGGGCCCTTTGTCATCTGTTCACCATTCAGCTACTAAGACATCAGACTGCGGTGACCTCACCAGGAAGACTCATCTCCTTCACCAAGCACTCAGGCCAGTCCGGAAGGGGACAAGCACCTCGTGAATTTTTACTTAATTGACCTGAATGGGGAAAGTTTGTCTGAAAATACCAGACCAGAACAGGCAAGAAAAAGATGGATCCGAAGGAGGGTGGGAGGCTTGGGACACTTCAGACTCCCCAGAACCCTGGTGCTCAGCCTGTGGGGCCTCTTCCTCTAGTACTCTCCTGCCCCCCCCCCTTCAAGAAATACAGGGAGGTAGAGGTTCTGATTTTGGGTTTCTTGGGAATGAGAAGGCTTTCTTGGCAACAGGTTGGAAAAGAATAATTGACGCTGGCTCAGAAGCAGCTGCTGCTGTGTGAAAGTAGCTTTTCTGCTTCAAAGATAGGGCAAAGGCGATAAAAATCCTAGACAATAAAAATCCCAGAGAACTGTATAAAGGCAAAAAGCACAACCCTTTGCCTCCCCCTTCTCTGAGGTCAGATGTCTGTGCTCTCATAACCACAGAAACTCAGAGGACAATCCCCATGTGCTACTTTTGAAAGGGGAAGAGCCATCACCTCCCTCCCTCTGAATCCTCCAAGTTCAGTGTCACCCCGAAGCCTGGGCGAAAGAGGCAGCGGTTCTGTCTGGAATGTAACAAGCATGTAGAAGGCACATCGGCCCCTTATCAGCAGTTTTTTTTTTTTCCATGATCTCTTACCGGCTGTGAACTTCAGTCTGAAAATATTAAATGGAAAACTTAGAAATAAGCAATCTGTAAGTTGTAAAGAACTTTCATCAGAGTATATTGCTATCATTGTGCCTAGTTTGTGAATTAAACATAACTGTGAGTGTGGGCATATAGGAAGACACATACTGTACCATGCATGGATGGAGTCTGACCTGCTTGTCCATGGCTCTAGAAGTCTCCCTTAGCCTAGAGTGAATTTTGCTGTTTGGTATCGAATAACTCGACTACAACGAAATGCTTGTGAGTGGTAAGTCTGGAGATATAGTTGACTAATGGGCATTATGTTATATCTGGCTTTTATAACTTTAAAAAAGGATGTATTCGTGTATCTTATGTATGTGGGTATTTTGTCTGCATGTATGCACACCACAAAAGGACATCAGATCCCATGAGACTACAGATATAGCAGTTGTGAGCCACCATGTGGGTTCTGAGAATTGAACTCAGGACCTTGTGAAAGAAAAGCCAGTGCTCCTAATCACTGAGCCATCTCTCCAGGCCTGTGGCTGGCATAAATGATTATCCTGTGGCCGCTGTTTCAGTGTGGACGGCAGGGCATGTCACATGTCACATGTCTGTTCTAAGCCACTGAAAAGGTGCACATTGTGGCAGTGGATAAATTCCCATTCATAGACTCCTCCTGCACCCTCACTGTAGGGGGGGGGTGAAGCTGAATAAAGACCCCGGATGTGCCTGCCCATGATACACTCCTGGCTTATGGTCAGAGCACCTGCCTTTGGGTTGGGTTTCTGTTCTTAGTGAGGTCATATTTTTCCCAGAGGGAGGCTGTGAGTCAGCATCAGAGATCTCTAGGCCTCACACCCATCTGCCAGCCCCTTGTGCCTCCATCCACATCATGGATGCCATATCCTATCATCATCCTGAATGCTTAGTCCCAGAAGTTGGCTGTTGCAAAGACTGCTGTCCCTCATTTTCCCCTTGCAGTTTCATTCATCCTAACCCCCTTTTTACCTTTCACTCTTCTCTGTAACTAAATTGACTGTCTCCTGTCCAACTCCTCTGCCTGTTCTTTCCATGACCATGTAGGAAACCAGACCCTTAACTCATCACTGCTACCTACCAAAAGTTTGACAGTCAGGCCACCCAGATCTGTGAAGTTCTCCCACAACCCTCTTCTCTGTCCTCTAGTGACTCTGTGTGTTTCTGCTGCCCAGCACCTTGCTGACCTACCTGCTCCTTCTTGCCCTGTACTCCATTGCAGCAGACCGCCTCACATTCCCAGACCACACTGTCACCCTCTTCAGTGTATTTATTTGCTCAGCCTTAAACTCAGTGACTTCCCTTTCCTACCGTGACCCACTCACCTCTCATCAAACCACCCCCAATCAGGTTCTCTGACCCCCAATCAGGTTCACTTTTCCATGACACCCCCTTTCACATCTGATTTCCTTGCTATGGGGCTGAGCCCCATACACTGACATCAACACTTTAAGCTCATTTTAGGGTGTCGCCCAGCTGTTCCATCCACTGTCCGACTGTCCTAGTCCAAATGGAGAAAGTGGGCCAGTTACAGCCTTTCTGGCTGCTGCTTCCTTTGGTACCTCATGATTTATTTCTCCCACAAGTGTGCTTTCCCTTCTATCCTCAGGCTCTTAATTCCACCCCTATTGCTCAAAGTCCTGTGTGATGTCATCTACCAGTCTCTTGAAGATGACCATTAAGGACTTTGTCCCTGTCCCTTCTCTGCAGCAGCACTGGCCCCTGGCATTGGTGAGTCCTGGCTTCCTGACCCACATGAAGGATACCTAGGTACGGAGAACCTGTGAAGAGACCCCCTCAAGTGCTTCTGCCAAGCATGGAAAGGAAGATGTGGATTTGCTGTTCTGAATTTCTGAAGGCCAATGATGAATTTCCAGAACTCTAGAGGTGGAGGGTTTGCTATCAGTTGCAGGTGAAATCACAGAATCCAAGGGCCCACTTTATGTACACAGCCCCTAAGCCTTGCTTCCTTTCCTTCAGAGCTCCAGGACTGGTGTAGCAGGAAGATGCCAAAAATGCTTACCTGTGCTGCAAACAAGGTGTGTTTTAATAGCCATGTGAGCAAGGAGGAAAATATTGCCCAGATGAAGGCGAAGTCAGGAGGATTCACAATCCGTGGAAGACGCTAAACAATGCTGAATGTTGGACTGACCTCTGTCAGAAGAGATGTTTGGTAAAGGAACTATCCAAGACCTGCTGCATTCGATGCATTTCCAAGTTCCTAATGACGATACAGACAGGGCACTTCCAGACACGTAGATAATGTAGACGGAACGTCCAGACACACAGATGATACCGACAGAATGTTTAGAGACACGCAGACGATACAGACAGGACATTTACAGACTGTAGATGATGGAGACAGGTAGAGTGCAGACATATAGATGATGGTTATGAGCGTGATTATGGGGCTGGGGAGGCGGGACGGCTGATAAAGTGCTTGTCCTGAAAGCATGATGAGTGTAGTCTGATCTCCAGGGCCCAGGTACAGTGGTTCATGTTTTAACCCCAGTGCCAGGCTAGCAGAGCCTAGGTACAGCGGTTCATGCTGTAACCGCAGTGCTGGGGCAGTGGAGACAGGAAGATCCCTGGACCTGGCTGACCAGCCTGTCCACCTGAATCAGCAAGCTCTAAGCCATCAAGAGACTGTGCCCATCCCCCTCCGTCCCCAACACACAAAACCTCAAACAAACAAACAAACAAACAAAAAACAAGCAAGCAAGCAAAAAATAAATAAATAAAAACCAAGATGCTTCTCAGGATGGCACTCGAGGAGCAACAACTAAGGTTGACCTCTGGCCTCCCTACTGTTGTACATACATCTCCTGCACACACAATAACACACAGGCGTGCACCACACTGCACAAAGTTATCTTCGAATAACTAATTAGGGTTCAAATCAGTTCATTGATGGAGTCCTAGGTGATGTCTCTAACAGGAAAATTCATCAAAAACAATACTGAAAGGTAGCAGTGGTGACACAGGCCAGTAACGTCAGCACGCAGAGGTTGATGCAGGAGGACCGAGTGAGTGTTCGAGACCAGTGTGGGGTGCAGAATGAGAAGACCTCGCAAACGAACCGACAAAGGCCCGATATTCAGCACAAGTTACAGAGACAAATGACCGTAGGTTCCATGTGTAGTTCGAAGTGAGAGGAAACGAACTGTGGGTTGTTTCAAGGAATACCCATCAGGGTGAATGATGGAGAAAAGTAAGGAAAAACAATGACAAAAATCAAGAGTTGTAGGAATGGAGGGAAGGGTCCAAAGCAGGCTGAGGGGCAGGTGCTGTTCTGCTCTTGATCAGGGACCTCCGTTGTTATGGTAGCACTTTAAATGACTGTATCTGTTCATATGCCTTTTTGTGTATTTGTTGCTATTTGTTTAAGGGACGCTTTTACAGTCTTATACCACCTTGCAGGAAATATCAAATCCCAGAGTAATCCAATAAAGCAGAGCATTTGACTGATAGCAGGAGTCAGAGTGAAAGTGTCGTCTCTACCACACTCTGCCTGTCTGAGGTCCAGGCTGGAGACCCCTGCAGAGCTCAAGGGCTGTTCTCTCTGAAGAGTCAGGCAAATGGGAGTCGTTGGGGGTCCACCCCCATGTGATGTCAGGATGCTACTGGATCATAACAAATGGGGTGCTTAGGGGCAGCCACAGGTGGCAGCTGACAGCTGTCTTCAAACCTTCCAAGCTGTTACATGGCAGAGAAATCTAGCCTGGTCTCCGCGGTGCCGGATGCCAGGATGGCCAGTAGCTGAAGGCACTGTGAGGCTTACGTTGGCTAAACAACATAACTTCTTAACAAGAGAAGGCCTGCACGAAGTCCTGAGCCCCTTTCCCAGGCAGGGCTCAGGCCTCCTGTTTAGGCCGTTGCAAAGGGTACCACAGAAGAGAAAGGTGGCTCAAATAACCTCGGACATCCCTTCACCTCCCATCCACGAGATGAGACTGTGAAACTTGCGCATTGTGTGCACAGAGAGAGACAGAAGCCGACTCCAGAACCAGCGCCTTTATAAGCACCATGTCTTCTTGATGGCAAGTTATTTTTTTAAGTCAACGAGTAGTGTTGTATTTCTATTCCAATGCTAAAGCTCCCTGAGACACCACTGCTGCCCAAGAGCATAGGTCTTCCAGATCACTGCAGGATGCTGTGTTCAACCTCCAGAACACAGGGGCCTGGAATAGGATTCCTCAGGATTACCTGAAACAGAAGCTGACCGGCTTACTCTCTGCTGCCCTCTGCTGGCCCTTCCCTCCATCTCTTATTTATGCAGGACATTGATGGCACCTGGTTAGGATAGTACAAACCAAGAGCTTCAGTACCCCAAAGACCGATGTTCATGACGACTCAACACAGAGAGCAAGAAGTGGTGTTTAGAGCTGTAGTCCAGTTACAAGACATGGCAGTGTGGGTCTTGCCAAGTGACAGCAAAGCCAGTCACCTCCACAGCCTTTTGAGGCACAACTCAAAAGGGACACACAGAAGTAAATCCACCCGACTCCAGGGACAGCTGCGGTTCTTCAAAATCCAGGGCCCTTCAAGGACCTATGGGTGGCCTGGGGTAGGAGAGGTTCCAAGTCCTAGGAGATTTGTCACCTCCTAATAAGGTTTCACTGTGCTTGCAGGCCCATCTTTGGTATGGTCTCCATGGAGAATGACCCTGCCTGGAGAATTCCACAGACAGGACACAGGTTGGAACTCTCCACAGTGGCTAGGTAAAGATGGTAGTGCAACTGGCCTCATTTGGTGAGTGGAGTTTCCTTTTGGTTAAACAAAAGCAAAGGGAGAAAGAAAGATGGGTTAACAGGTGAGGTTGAATTGTGGCTTCACAGGAGAGAGCAGCCTGCCAAGGCTAAGTGGGCTCCAATCTAAGAGATAGGGGTAAAGGAGCTGCTAGAATTCACCCTGAATCAGGAGCTATGGTACCTGCTCTTTGTTTTTAGGGAGCCCCAAGAACCTGCAGAAAAGCCTTGAAGAACTAGCATCAGGTCACCTGTTCTTGGAGGCCACCAATACCCTGACAGCCTTTCCCCTTTTTGTCCAGCCCCTGCCCTGGGCCCCATCCTGGACTATTCAGTAGCTGACCCTCTTAGAGATGGCTTCTGGAGAAAAACCAGAGTGAAGGTTCAGACCTGAGGAAGGAAGTCTTGAAGACTTATTATGCAGAAGAATGTTCTATCTGGAAGTTTGTGTTAAAACTAGACGAAGAGAAATATTTTAAAACGAAGCCATTCTCAGGTGCAGTGTGACTGGAACATTGAGGAATTTGGGCTGTTCCTAAGATGTCATGAAAGTGTGGAGTAGAGAAACCCTGTTGAAGAAAGTGATTGGGAGAAAAAGCCACTGCCTTTGTCCTGTCCTATAAAGGTAAGCTCCTTCGACGCAGCTCACTGGCTTATTCCATAAGCTTGGCTTCCCGTAAGCAGCATGTGTCTGAGCTGACATGCTGCCTCTTCAGGATGGCCTTACGAGTGTGTGGTCGACTCCCCTGCCCTCCTTACATGCCACCTGCCCTATACGGCACTGGAATTTTCAGTCTCGGCTTTGGCCTCATTCCTCACTCTACAGTGGACAAACGGTGGCCCAGAGGAGAGACAGGTCACTCATGTTACACAGAATAAAAGGGCTGTATCTGAAAGTCCAGGCATGAAAATACTGCTTGGCTTCCCTAGCTCCGCCCCCACACTGCCAGCTTCCTCGGGTGCGGTGGGATGAGAGGTCTCCATCTGGCTAAGGGAGCAAGCTGAGCGTGGGGAAAGAATCGAGGGCAATTGGGTACTGGTCTGGAATTGCCCAGAGCCAGTCCTATTCCTACCTACACATGCTCCTTCTACACCCTACACCCCAGAGAATGAAAATGGCTCATTTTCTATGGGTCATTTCGTGAGCAGCTCAGGTGGGTGTGTAGTTGAGCGAGGTTGCACGCACACGGCACAGCATGTATGTGGAGGCCAGAAGACAACTGTTAGGAGTTGAGTCCTGTCTTCCACCTTGCTTTGAAGCAGGATCTTTGTTGTTGATGCTGCTGCCTGGTCCCGCAGGCTAGTTGACCATGAGTTTCTGTCTCCATCTCTTCTCTCACTTAGGGACACTGGAATTCCAGAGTCCTGTCAGTTATCTGGTTTTCTTTCCCCTCCTATTGTTTCACATGGGTATAAACTCATGTCATCAGGCTTGTGTGACAAAGTGGTTTGGTTCTGTTTTCTACTCCAGGGGCTGTAGGATGGGGTAGATGTAAGAAGGGAACACAATACTGACATTGGAGAATCTTTATTTTTTTTTCCCTAGCCTTAAATATTAAAACCTACTCACCAGATCTGAGAACAAGAGGAAGCTACATGGCTTTCCAGAATGAACAGTTATTTCCCATGGCTGCCGTCCCATGGCTGGTCACAAATGTAGAAAATGCTGAGTCAGTCAGGGCATGCCTATGGCAAGGTCCCATTTTGTGTGGTCTGAGTGTAATGTAGTCGTAACTGTTGTGGCAAAAAGCCCGGAGTTCCTCTAGTAGCTGATACAGCTGTGAAACCAAAAAGGCAAAAAGTAACCTGTGCAAGATGGAGGGACATTCAATTCAACGTACAAATATTTCAGTGTCAAGCTGTGTACCAGGGAGCCTCCGCTGCCAGCTGAAAAGTTACTGGCAGTTGATCGTTGCTAGGAGGGAGCATGCCACTTTAGGAGTATGGTTCTAAAGACCATATTCCTGCAGCTAAGCCCATATTCCTGCCGATATGGGTAATACTAGTTGGATTCAGTGAACTATTAAAAACAAAAAAAGGACGTGAGTTTGGAAAGTGGACGTGGCAGGGGACCTGGGAGAAGTTAGAGGGTGACTATGACCAAAATAAATTGTATACATGTATGAAGTTCTCAAATAATAAAGTGTATTTTTAAAAAGAATACAACTACCATTACAGCTGGAAGGGAAAAAACAAACCCATCTCTCGACAAACAGTAACATTACAGTACGTGCTGATGAAGGAGTGAGGCATAGAACCAATAGACCAGCCACCCAGAGCCCTCTGGTCACCAGGGAAAGTATTCCAGGAAGTCTTCACATAGGTAACTACTGTGGTTTGTCCCCTGCAGGTTCATGTGTTGGAATCTTGGTCCGTGAGGTGCTGAAGTGCTATGATGGGGCTCCACCATCATGAATAATGGATGGTGGATGGATCTCACAGGAACCTGTTCTCACAAGCGTAGGTAGTCATAAAGCCCACCCCCACCCCATGCCTGGTCCCGTTCTGCATGCAGCCATTTCCCTTCCCTCCTCTCCGTGTTGTGATGGAGGGAAGAGGGCCTTTGCTAGGATGCTCGCACCATGGCACCCAGCCCCCAGAGTCACAAACCAAGTAAACCTCTTGCATATGAATTATCCAGCTCCAAGTTATAGTACAGCAACACAGAACAGACTAACATTACCAGCCCAAAGTCCAGGCCGGCCAGCAAGAATCTGGGGTAGACAGGGAATCAAATTGCAGATGATAGGGCTTACATCATGGCCTTTTTAGTTTAGTGATGCTCTCTGATTTACTCCTCTCCCACTAAGGCCCAGAAGTGACTGAAAGGTATCACTTGTCACATGCTGTACAAGACTCTCCTCCTGGCCCTCCTAAAATCACTATGCACATCCCACTATAGAAGCTGAGCCCTAGAAGACATCCCGCAAGCACATGCGGCTTTACTCCAATGGTAAGGTTTTGTTATGTTTTACAGAACACTACTCCATGGCTGGCTCACGACTGGAATGACAGGCTGCACAGGAGCCTTGCCCAGGCTGGGCTTCCTGGTGCCTCACCCAGAGGAGCGCTAAGCACAGCTTTGGAGAACTTGGCTTGGGCAAAAGCTGGAGTAAGGTGGCTGGAGACTGATGCTTGCTCTGGAATCTAAGCTTTTAAATTTGTAGCTTGTTTTATGTTTAAAACTGAAAGGTCACTCATCCAGTCTAATATGACCATTTTCAATTTGGGGATGTTATCCATATGCTACGCTTCAAAGAAAAAGCAGACTTCAGTACCACGACCAAGGACAAGCTGGAAGATGGCATTATTTCTCCATTTTGCCACCCTCCCTGCTGTTTTCCTTTAAACTGTTCCAGCTCAGAAAAACAAGAGCGTCCCCCCTCTTACACACAAGGGCGGTGTGGACTTGTGTTTAGCTGAAGGCTGACTAGTGTCTTGCTGTGGCTTACAGAATTTTTTCTGGGGGTGGGGAAATAGAATCAGTGACAAGGAACAATTAAAAGGCTTTTGTTTTTGTTTTTGAGACATAATTTCTCTGTGTAGCCTTGGCAGTCCTGGACTCACTTTGTAGACCAGGCTGGTCTCAAATTCACTATCTCCCAGAGCACTGGGATTATAGGTGTGTGCCTAGCTTAGAGTTTAAACAAAACACAAAAAGATCCTGGGTTTGCCAGGTACGATGGTACATACCTGTACTCAGGGAAGCAGAGGCAGGAGGATCTCTGTATGTTCAAAACCAGCCTGGTCTACAAAAGTGAGTCCAGGACAGCCAAGGCTACAGAGAAACTCTGTCTCAGAGATAGACAGCGACAGAGACAGAGACACACACAGAGAGAGACAGAGACAGACAGTGATCCTGGATGGGTTCAACTAAAGCCTATATCTACTCTGCTGATGTCAAAACTTTGCCAGTTTGGTAAATGCCAGTTTGGTAAACTTCCCAGGCCCTATTCTAACACAAGCATCATGTCAAACTTGCTTTGCCCAGGCATTCTGACCTCACAGCAAAAGGTAAGAAATGGGAGAGCTAAAACTACCCACATGTAACAACAGCAGTTTGTGAAGTTAATTAAGTGATAAGGCGGGCCTCCTCTGCACAGAGGACAGAGCCAGGAGACTGGAAAGAGATGGCAAGGAACTCTCTCACACACAGATCTGATCAAAAGCGCAGCTCAGAAGCATAGAACAATCTGGAACTTCTCTATCACTTAGGACACATGCCAGCAGCAAGAAAAGACGGCTTTGATGCTGGCAGTCTGACTGGTGAACTATGTCCTTAAAAGAAAAGGTATCTGCCTTTCCCTGAGACCAAGTGAACTGGAAAAACATAAAACGGGCAGAGAGGCGGGGGAAACTCAGCCAAGAACAGCTAAAGGGGTGGGAGCCAGGTATTCAACTCTGAGAACTCAGAAGGAGCCTAGATATGGTAAGCCCCCGAAAGCAGAGTTTTGAACTTCGAATCCTCCCGTGTAAGCTGAGCACCTCGCACTAAGGAGATATTCTTACAAAGCTCCCCCTGTGCATGTTCACAGTCCTGCAGACGCCGAGGCTGAGGGCTCAAGGGCAATGCCGGGAGCAAAGCCTCCCACTGAGGTGTCTATAGCCAAGAACTAAAGAACTAAGGGATGTCCACAGGGACTGGGCATGAGGGCTACAGGACTGGGCAGCCCTGCCACCAGCTCACACTTAGCCATGCTTAGATCTGAGTGGGCGATCACTCTTGGAGGCCCCACAGCAGAGCCTGAGGGGCATGGGGCTGTAGCCCAGTGCTCACCTCAAATGCATAAGACCTGACGTCCACAGAAGGAACCAATGGTAAATGAGTTTTTACAGCACAATTACCTGCAAACCAGCATGGAGATGGGGGCTGCTTTTTTTTTTTTTTTTTTTTTTTTTTTGGTAGAAAACAAGTTCTAAGAATTCATATATCAATGTCTTTTCTGATTAAAAAAATGATACTTTTATTATAATTTTTTAAAGTACAGAGCTCCAATCTAGATATCACACACACACACACATGCACACACACCCCACACACTCACTGATCTCTGATGCTGACTTCCATACCCCCTCAAATTTGGCTAATGAGTTATGCTCCAAGGAGTTTTCCAGTTCAACTTGTACTGAGCTTGGAATACCAGGGATCATGGGCTTTCTGGCTCTGCCCAAACGTCCGTCATGGCAGCTGGCACATTTGCTGAAGAAATCTTTTCTGCTGGCTCAGCACACTGGTGCTGTGGGCACTGGGTGATGTGTGGTGTGCTACAATATGGACCTGCATGCCATCACTACCCTGCAGGCTTTGCTCTCCTCACTGTCCTGCTGTGCCTCTACAGGGGATTAAACACTGTGAAAAAAAAAAAAGGTATCTATTGGAGAGCAGGCAGCTCAGACCAATACCAATGCTGCCTGTGAAGTCACAGAGCCTCAACTCTGGGATTACAATTCAACATGAATATTATTTCAAAGTAAGGAAACAGATGACTTAGCTGGCTAGGAAAATGCTTGATTCTTTCTAAAACTTGCAATCCACTGTGGACTTTGTTTCATGATACAGTCAAGACAAAAATGAGGCAATCTGTGTCACTCACACTACTGGCGGAGCACCCCTTCCTGTCTCCCTCCCCACGGAGGAATGACTTCAGAGCCTCCTTGTCACATCTGTGACTTGGGTCATGTGACCAGCTCCAAACTTGGTTAAGATCAACTGTGTAGCTATGATGTTAAGGTGAGACCCTCACTTTGAGGAGAACATAACCCTTAGAATAAGCTAAGAACTGGGCCAGCTACTCTGACACCAACAATATTGAAATCCAAGTTAAGTAAGTACTGCAACTGTCTTCAAAACCCATATGCCTTTCTTCTATCAGGAAATGATTACTGAGAGCCTGGCCTGAGCAAACCACCAACAGTCTACTTAACAGAAGTAGAGAGATTTTAGAAGTAGGAAATGCATTTCATGATGTCTGCTTCCAGGACAAACTGCAGCCAAAGAAACACTTTCCGGAGTTGGTCTGATCAAATGTCTATCTCAAGAACAAAGGCAGCCAGCCTTCACGAGGTACTGACGTATGTTCTGCCAAAAATATTTTCCTCTTCCTAAAGTTATACATTGTCTTCAAGTTCAACTATATTATACATCTGTTCTTTCCATCAGAAAAAAAAAAAAAAAAAAAAAACTTTTTTTTTTTTAAACTCCAAAAATGAATGATGTCTATGTACACTGAAGGTAGAATTCTGATTGATTGGTTGGTTTCTTCTGTAATTCAGAACACAGATGAAATCAAAAGATCTGTAATGGTCTTCACATTCATGTCTTCCCAGGGCTCCTTTGCTCGGCTCACATGAACTCATCAGAATCGTTACCATCCTGTAGGAGACCAAGAGTGAAAGTATGAAGGCACTGAGAACAGTCAATCGGTACTTTCTGTTTATAATTACCATGCCAACCCACCAGCCCCTTCTTATTCCTAATCTCAGGGTTCAGAAAGACAGCAGGAAGACAACCAAATGCACCACTACCCAGTTGTCAGTAGCTCTTGGAATGACCAGGAGGAGTAGCCACAGCCTCCAAGGTGCCAGATACCTCAGCTTCCAAATTACAATGTAAAGCCCACCCCAACTTGTAGCCGGTATGAAGAGAGTGACTACAAGAAAATGTGACCCTGCAGAAGGGGAGTGAATAGCTCATCACTTAGCATAAACCCTGAACGTTAAAACATGAATAGCTGAGATGAGGGCTGTGGAAACTTTTTTCCTGCAGTGACTGAACACAGCTCATGTCATGGAAGGTATGTTAAATACACCAACAATTTTAGAAACTTTTGGACTGATCCTCAACAAGGTATACTACATGAACGGTATCTTGCTTCCTTAGGCCAATAACACTGTCATATGCAAAACATGTATGCCCTACATCCCAGCATGCTGAACCCCCTGGTTTTCATGGATTTGTGATTTCACATGAGAGATGCTGTGGATGTAAACATGGTTTAGTTTTGGTCCCAGGTGTGGGATGTGGGACTGATTCAGATGGTCCACAGCAGCAGACTATTTGCCTCATTTGAGTTCTGAGAGTTGGCTCTCTATCAGCTGCACATAGTTTAAATCTGAGGACTCTGGAGAGAGAATAAACGCCAGAGCCCAGAGTGAGGAGGTCTGAGAAAGAACAAGGCTGAACCTGCTTCCCCCTTGATGCTCCTAGTTGATGTTGTGAGACAAGAAGATGGAGATCTCCTGAAATGAGGATTGGACTGGCTCCAAGGAGCCCAACGACCCTAACCAGCAGGAAGCAGCTAAGAGAACTGTGTCCCCTCTTCTCACTAACCCTTTCTAATACCTGGTGTTGAGGTGTAAAAAGGGATTGGGATGGGGTAAGGAGAAAAAGATAAATGCAAATAGAAGTTTAAAAAAGTATGACAAGAGATAGCTGATTTTATTCACTTCTTTTTAACAGGTAAAGTCCTTAAGAAACCAAACACGGGCTAGTAATCAAGCTAGCTGGCTTGGTCTCCTACACAGGACAGCACACGGGTCAAGGGCCAATCTTACTGCATGGCCGCACGGCAGCTCCTCGCATTGGCGCACACTGGCAGGGTTCTTTTCCGGCACAATGGCTGGCTTGTGAAGCACTGGCCATTGTCCTGATTCAACTTCTGTCTCTTACTGCTTAACGCCAGTACTGCCAGAGACAGGACCGACTTAGGTTTCTTTTTCTTTTAAGGACTCTTGTTAGAAATGCTAGAAAAACATTGAGGTGAGGGTAGAAAACAGGTTTCTATAAACACTGTTTTTCTCTGGCTTCATTCGGTGGCTCTATATTGCTCCTCCCCCCTCTTCTTAAAAAATGTTCATTTTAGGGTCTGGAAAGATGGTGCAGTGGTTAAGAGACTTGCTATTCATGCAGCAGAACCAGGTTTGACTCCCAGAACCCATTTGGTGGCTCATAACCATCCATAACTACAGTTCCAGGGGATCCAACATTTTCTAGCCACCAGGACACTGCATGTGTGTGGTGCACAGCCATACACACACAAAGCACACACACACATAAAATAATAAAGTACCATTTAAAAATGTATTTGTGTGTGTGTGTGTGTGTGTGTGTGTGTGTGCAGTGTATGCTTGTAGAAACCATGGGGAGGTCAGAAGAGGGCACTGGATCCCCTGGAAGAGGAGTTCTAAGAGATTGTGAGCCACCATGTGGGTGCCAGGAACAGAACCCAGGTCCACTGCAAGAACCATGTGTCCAGCCCATGCGCTTCTCTTTTTTTAGCACAGGAATCAGAACAACAGGAAACTTGGCTCAACTGTTTGTGTTCTGTCCCAGTACCAGGAGGGCTGCCTCCAAAGTCCTCGATTCAGGAGCAGCTTCAGAGACATCAGAAAGATGGTGTGCACCTTCTCTGTCAGCTTCTCTTCTCCACCAGTGAGGAAAAACAACTCAATTTGGCCACCTGACTGGTAGCAAGACAAGAGCACTCATCCCACAGGGGCTACGCATTGGATGTCAGTGCAGAGATCCCACTGCCCAAGGGCACGTGTTCTGGGACCACCGGCATGTTTAATGACATACCTGCTGTCCAGGACTTTCCTTGGACAACTATTACATTTTGGATTTCCCAGTCCCTGTACTATCTGGCTTACCAGACAGACCTAAGTGGTAAACTGACAAATAAGAGGAACATAACAGTAATAATCTATGCCTCCAAGCACAAATAAAAAAAGAACTAAAAATTACAGATCAAAGAGGTCATGCTAAGGGCTGGAGAGATGGCTCAGAGGTTGGGAGCACTGGCTATTCCTTCAAAGGTCCTGAGTTCAATTCCCAGCAACCATATGGTGGTTCATAACCATCTATAATGAGAACTGGTGCCCTTTTCTGGCCTGCAGGCAGACTACTGTATAAATAATAAATCTTTTTTTTTTTTAAATATATTTATTTAAAAAAAAAAAAAGAGGTTAGGCTAAAGGGAAGACTACAATTCAGATGAAAATCTAGCTCAGACGGAGACTAGCACTCTTCCTGATGAGCTTGTACAGTCCTATCTAACGTGCGCATCAGCCTTTGAATGACGATCAAGAGATCACACGGCAAATTAGGTTGTAAAAGACAAGACAGTAACAGGAGACTGAAGCCTTTCCACTGGAGCCCCTCATGCATGGCAGCACGTAACAGAGCAGGAGGGGAAGGGAGCATTGGCCTCACACTGAACACTGCAGTCCTGGGACTTTGAACAGTGGCATCCATATGCATTTTCGTGCACCACTGGTCCTCTGCCCCTGCGGGGGTCTATGTCTGCAGATCCAAACGCACAGAAAGCACTTAGGAATCCCACAACACAGGCACTGGCCTTTTTCTTGTCATTACTTCCTAAGCAACAGTGTGAAACTATTTACACTGCATTTACACTGTATTTGGTATAAGTGATAATACACAGAGTAAAGCACATGGGGAGATAAAATGTAAGTTACATGAAAATACTTTTCCATTTCACAAGGCTTTTGAGCACCCACAGATATTAGATTTTAGTATTTCTATGGACTTGTAACCAATGCTGAAAACATTTCAGGAGGCGGCGTGTGCAAATGTATGTGTGCGCACACACACACGTATACATATGAGTGTGTGTTCATAGGCATGTACATGTTTCCAAGTCTAAACAACATGTAAGCTCTTAAAGATCCACTGTGACAGGAACAATATGTACAAGACTGAAACACCAGCTAGATTACTGGTGGAAAGCCACTTCTAAATACAAAGTTTCAAAAGTATCAGTAGGCAGAGAGGAGACAGGAGCATTAGTTTTAACTGAATTTGACTTGGACTCTATCACAGGCCCCTGCAATGTTCTGAGTTCAGGAAAGCCAAGACTAATGTGCAAAGGACTAAACAAACTCAGGACTTTAAGGAAGTCAATGACGATGACCTATGCCATGACTGAGTCTAGCAAAGTCTTGGGGGCACACCCTTGTTTACAGGTTACAACCGCCTCATGAGGTAATGTCTCTGTGCTAAGCAATACTCAGAAAGGCTAAAAATGAAGTAGGCTCACCCTACTGACAGCTTAAACGCCTTGACTTCACATTCAGTCCTAATGGACTGCACAGCGCTATTCTGAAGATTTTCAGAAATAATTTATAGACACAGCTCAATTTATAAAGGAGCCTCAAAAATTTAGTTCACAGAGGTGGGAGCAAAGGTGTGTTCTTGCCCATTTTTGTACAATTACTGGATATAAACAATGTCTAAAATCCTACTGATTGCAATTCGAGCACTTAACCTGGAGTTTGAGTAAATAACCTTAAGCGGAAAACTGAGCCACTTCCAGAACTTTCTGTAGTAATGGCAGGTACCAGGCCACACAAAGCTAGTATGGCTGAAAAACACAGGTTTTTAATTATTTTTTTCATTTAAGCAGCATTTGCAATTCATGTCTAGCACATCTGACCATACCGTCCTAAAGCAGGCATTTTAAAAGCATATTGTAAAAGAATTTGAGCCAAATGTGATGGTGCGTACTTGGAAGTAACCTCAGCACCTGGGGAGCAGAGGCAGGAAGGCTGGGGTTAAGGCGAGCTTTATGGCAGCCTGAGCAACAAAGCAAAACCCTATTTCAAAGAAAAAAGCAAAGCAAAACAAAACAAAAAACCTGAAACATGTCAACACTTATTCCAGGTCATGACAAGTATGAAAAAAAAAAAAATCAGTGTTGGTATTTAGGCTATAGCATATGATCTCTGTATTTGGTACATTTATTTTTTTAATTGAAAGAGATAATTCTGGTTACTAATAAATGGAAATAGCAAAGGAGAAAAAAAATGGACTACAGTACTGTGCCACAGTTGTGTCTGGAAATGTCCCCACGTGCAGAAGGCTTGTTCCCTAGCCCATGGTATGTCTGGGAGGTAGGACATTTAAGAGGCGGTGCCTGGTGTGAAGTCAGGTACCCAAAGCTTGCCCTTCACTGGGAACCGGGACTCTCCACTTCCTCTTTCCCTCTTTGTTTCCAGGCTGCCATAGATGAGTGGCTTGCCTTGTCAGGTATTCCTGCCATGATGTTGTCTTAATATTGGGCCCAAAGCAGCAGGACCATTGACCGAAAACTACAAACTCCTGAGTCAAAAGAAAGTTTCTTTCCTCATAAGTTGATTATCTCAGACATTGTGTTATGAGTAAGAGAAAGCTGAGTGACACATCTTGCAATATTAATAGGCCTGCCCTTCATAGGGGTGAGGTTCCAGACCCTCCTTTTACAAAGTGACCCATACAAAAGCAAACATAAGATCACAGGGAAGGAAGGCAATGCCTGCCATAATCCTCCTCTGGCCAATCCTCCGACACCCCCCATACTAGCTGCCAATCATGGTAAACAACTTGCAATGCTATAAGGGTCAGCGACACAATTACGAAAGACTCTCTGTGAAGTATTTCAAGGCACAACATTAAAGCAAGAAACAGGAACATACTTGATTTGAGGACATATTCTCAGC